TCCGACCCCTTCCCCAAAGCCCCGCCCCTGCTCCACCCCGCCCGCCTCTTCCTACCCCTGCTCCGGCCCCAGCCCCGCCCCCACTCCGACCCCTTCCCCAAAGCCCCGCCCCTGCTCCACCCCGCCCCGCCATTTCCTACCCCTGCTCCGCCCCCGCCCCAACTCCATCCCTTCCCCAAAGCCCCCACCCCTGCTCCACCCCACCCCGCCTCTTCCTACCCCTGCTCCGCCCCACCCCGCCCCCACTCCACCCCTTCCCCAAAGCCCCCGCCTCTGCTCCACCCCCACTGCCTCGTCCTACCCGTGCTCCGCCCCAGCCCCACCCCCACTCCACCCCTTCCCCTGAGGACTGCAGCAGGGGTCGGGCTCTCTGCACTCACCTGCCCCCCAAGCCTTCTCCTGCCCCTTGCAGACCTTGGGCACAGCCCCCCCCCGCGCAGGCCTGGGGCCGCACCCCTCTCCCCCACAGGGGGGCTGCGTAGGGCACCAAAATGGCTAGGGATGGCCCTGCTTGCAGCACCTGGGGGTACCCTGGGCCAGGGAAAGGAGCCGTCCCGGGGGTTTCAGGCGTTGGCACCACCGCCCTGTGTCCCAGAGTCCCCGGGCGATGCTCTGGAACTGCTCCCCACAAAGCCAGGCAGGACTCTGGGGAGCCTCCTCTCCCTCGGAGCAGACTGTCTTCAGGGCAAGCAGCTCACACGGATTCACCTCCTGGGTCTGACCTCGGAGCATTCAGCATATGCCCCTCCGTGCGCTTCCCACAGTGAGTCCGCCCCGGCGGGGTCCTGGGGCAGCCAGAGGGTCCTGCACCCCCACTTCACAGTCAGACGTGACTCTCGGCCAGCCAGTAACACAGAGGTTTATTAGATGACAGGAACACGGTCTAAAACAGAGCTTGTAGGTCCAGCGAACGGGACTCCTTGGCCGGGTCCATTCTGGGGCCCAGCGAGGCAGACACTCCCATCTGCCCTCACTTCCTGTCCCCAGCCAGCTCCAAACTGACTCACCCTCCAGCCCCTTCTCCTTTGGGCTTTGTCCCTTTCCTGGGGAGGGAAGTTTGCTACAAACGGAAACTTCGAACAAAGGAATGAAGGGCCCATCCCAGCTGGGGATGTTCCAGAGACTTGATTTGAACCTGCAGTTTATTCCATCCCTGCTGCAAGCCTGAACCAAGAACTTTGCCATTACTGTATGTAATTGATTCCATTTAACCAATTCTAACTCTCATCTGTATCTTTTTCCTTTTATGAATAAACCTTTAGATTTTAGATTGTAAAGGATTGGCAACAGCGTGATTTGTGGGTAAGATCTGATTTGTATATTGACCTGGGTCTGGGGCTTGATCCTTTGGGATCAGGAGAACCTTCTTTCTTTTACTGGGGTATTGGTTTTCATAACCATTTGTCCCCATAACGAGTGGCACTGGTGGTGATACTGGGAAACTGGAGTGTCTAAGGGAATTGTTTGTGTGACTTGTGGTTAGCCAGTGGGGTGAGACCAAAGTCCTCTTTGTCTGGCTGGTTTGGTGCCTTAGAGGTGGAGAAGCCCCAGCCTGGGGCTGTAACTGGCCTGCTCTGAATGATTTGTCCTGAATTGATACTCTCCGTTGGGTCCCCCCAGAACTGCATCGTTACACCGCCTGAACTGTGTGCAGTGCCTTTGAACCGCGATTGTTTGGGTGTTGTGAGGCCGTCTGTCACGGGGGGCTCATGGACTTCCCCCTCTCAAGCCGGCCCGGGAGGGGCTCACGCAGACTAGCTCACACTGGATTCTCCAGGGATCGGCAGCCAGAGAAAGGGGGTTGGGGCTAAATCGCCGGGATTTGAACAGGCTCGGGGCCTTTAACCAACCCCGCCCCTGGCCCGTGGGGGGCCCAATCCTCTGGGGAGGGCTGGCAGGCCCCACAGGGCTGGGAGGTGGCTCTGAACTGCGGCATCACAAGCGAGACGCCTGCTGCGGGGGACTGTGAAGGACTCACACTCCGGCCGGGGACTCGCTGGTGAGCGCGTTAGCAGGCGGGCAGCTTCTTGGATTGTTTTTTACGTGTTTTCTCTGTAACGCTTCTACCCGAAGAATAATTAACCTTGCCCAGGGAGCGCTGCCCGCGAGCGCCCCACACCTGGCGCTGACTCGGGTATCGGTCTCTGAGGAGAAAGCAAGCCGGCCCGTTTGCTGGGGAGTTCGGGAGCTGGGCAGGCCGGGGAGCCTCGAACGGGAGCCTTGCTGCGCTGTCGAGGGGGAACAGAGCTCGGGCCGCGGCTCTCCGGCTCCGGGCCAGCAGCCACTGCTCCAGACTCTGGTTCCCGAGCTCTCTGCTCCCCCCAGACTTGGGATCGTCTCTCCCTTGTAATCCCCAGGGCAGCCCAGCCCTCCTCCGTACACCAAGCTGGGGCGCGACTGGCCTGGGACAGGAAAGATGGGGGACCGGCTACCAGGCGACAGGACCTTTGGAGGCCTAGATCCTCGGCGGGGCGAGTGCTTTCCCGCTCCCGAAGCCCTGGGCGCTGCACAGCCCCCGAGCAGGGCCCAGCCTGGAGAACTCACAGCTGGGCGACAGCGAGGGTCGGGTCATGGCTCTGACAGCCGCTCCCCTGGGCGCTCGGGGCGGGCTGTGTGCATCGGCCAGCGCATCTGTGGCCATTGGCGCTTCCTATTGGCACGGGTTGGGCACGGGTTTCCTCCGGCTGACTTGGCAATATGGAGGTGGAGGAAACATGAGGCGGCTTATTTTTCCTCCCAATGAATGAATCCTTCCCTTCCTGAACATAAGAGCGGCCGGACTGAGTCAGACCAAGGGTCCATCTAGCCCAGTGTCCTGTCTGCCGACAGTGGCCGGTGCCAGGTGCCCCCGAGGGAATGAACAGAACAGGGAATCATCAAGCGATCCATCCCCTGTCGCCCATTCCCAGCTCCGACAAACAGAGGCTAGGGACACCAGCCCTGCCCATCCTGGCTAATAGCCATTGATGGACCGATCCTCCATGAACTTATCTAGTTCTTTTTTTAACCCTGGAGCCTCCCCCAAGCTTTGGGACTCAGCTGTGGCATGAAACCCCCGGCACGGCCGGGCAGACACCGGCACTGGTCTCTAGCGGGCAGAGAGTTCTGCCTAAATTCTGCCTCTTTGTACCTGCTGCGATTCGTGACTCTTTCTCGCAGCCGTGGGAGGCTCCCGCCTCGTCCCCCCCGCTCGTTACAGACCCGAGATCCTTTATTGGTGAGAGAGAATCATAGAATCTCAGGGTTGGAAGGGACCTCAGGAGATATCTAGTCCAACCCCCTGCTCAAAGCAGGACCAACCCCAACTAAATCATCCCAGCCAGGGCTTTGTCAAGCCGGGCCTTAAAAACCTCCAAGGAAGGAGATTCCACCACCTGAAATAGTGTTTCCGAATATCCAACCTAGACCTCCCCCACTGCAACTTGAGACCATTACTCCTTGTTCTGTCATCTGCCACCACTGAGAACGGCCGAGCTCCATCCTCTTTGGAACCCCCCTTCAGGTAGTTGAAGGCTGCTATCAAATCCCCCCTCATTCTTCTCTTCTGGAGACTAAACAATCCTAGTTTCCTCAGCCTCTCCTCATAAGTCATGTGCTCCAGACCCCGAATCATTTTTGTTGTCCTCCGCTGGACTCTTTCCAATTTTTCCACATCCTTCTTGTAGTGTGGGGCCCAAAACTGGACCCCGTCCCCCATAAACGCTCCTCTCGTCAGAGCCCGTTTGCGCCGCTCGTTAGACAAACCCAGCGGGAGGGCTCTATGGAGCTCGGCAGCTCGGCCCTTTCGCCAGCAGAAGTTGGTCCAATCAGCAATATTAATGCCCCGGCCTTGTCACTCCGTAGAGGGAGGCAGGCGCGTCACAGCCCCTCTCTAGCCAGGAGGTCTGTATTGCAGCTGCCGAGGCACCAGATCTGGTCACCTCGCGGGGCCGGCTAGTCTAGGGAGCCACCCGCAGCGTGCACCCGCCCGGCCGGTAGCTCCCCACGGCAGGAGGACGCTGGGAGACCCGCCAGGCGAAGGTCCCTGCTTCTCGCCAAGGGCGACTGGGACGGATGGTGCAGGGCAGGGAAGGGCGGGCGGATCGTCGCTCTCCAGCTACCAGCACCTCCCTCTGCTGCCGCCCACGGGGCTCCGGGGCCATCTGCTCTGCCACCCACACTAGCAGCGGGGCCCCAGGCCTCTGATGGCCCCGGCTGCAGCTCTCGAAGCACTGGGGGGGCCACCAACAGCCCCCACTGTTCTCCAGCACGGGCCAGCAGCCTGTTTCTCCAAAGGCCATCCTGGCCCAGGTCCCCAGCACTCCAGGGGCTGCACGTTCGAATGCTATTTATTAGATGTATTACGGTAGCGCCCAGGTCCCCAGTGCGCCAGGAGCTGCACGTTACAGTTGCTATTTATTAGGTGTATTATGGTAGCACTCAGGAGCCCCCATCCTGGCCCAGGACCCCAGTGCGCCAGGAGCTGTACGTTACAGTTGCTATTTATTAGGTGTGTTTACGGTAGCACGCAGGAGCCCCCAATCTGGCCAAGGTCCCCAGCGTGCCAGGGGCTGCACGTTATGGTTGGTATTTATTAGGTGTATTACGGTAGCACACAGGAGTCCCCGTCCTAGCCCAGGACCCCAGCGTGCCAGGAGCTGCACGTTACAGTTGGTATTTATTAGGTGTATTATGGTAGCACTCAGGAGTCCCCATCCTGGCCCAGGACCCCAGCGCGCCAGGGGCTGCACGTTACGGTTGGTATTTATTAGGTGTATTACGGTAGCACACAGGAGTCCCCGTCCTGGCCCAGGACCCCAGCGCGCCAGGGACTGCACGTCACGGTTGGTATTTATTAGGTGTATTACGGTAGCACTCAGGAGTCCCCGTCCTGGCCCAGGACCCCAGCGCGCCAGGGGCTGCACGTCACGGTTGGTATTTATTAGGTGTATTACGGTAGCACTCAGGAGTCCCCGTCCTGGGCCAGGACCCCAGCGCGCCAGGGGCTGCACGCATACAGAACCCAGAGCCGGGCCCTGCCCCAGGGAGCTCCCAGCCCTGCATTCGTCATGGGGGGCGAACCGCTGAAGTGCCAGAATTAGAGGTCAGGCGTTTATCTGAACCTCTGGTTGGGGGGAACCCCTACCCCACCCTGAGCACCCCCCCCCGCACACTCCCCCCCCCACGAGCAGTGCCTCAGTCTGCCCGCGCCCTCGCTTGCTCCCCAAACCCGCAGGCACCTCGCTGGTCCCCGCCGTTCTCCCGCCGCCAGCTGGCACCTGGCACCCGCGTGGGAGCCGGATCGATCCACGTGGCGCCCGCCCTCCACAGCCCTCATCTGTTTGCTCAGGGATCGCTCGGCAAATGCAGCCGGCAGCCGCTTATCACTGGGCAGGGCCGGCTGCAGGGGACGCTCCCTTCGGCAGCTGGGCTGGCAGGTGCCCCCTCACCCCTGCCCCGATGGATCTGTACCTCGGCTTCGTCATTCTGGAGGGGCTCCTGGCCCTGGCCGTGGTGGCCACCAACCTGCTGGTGTGCGCCGCGCTCTGCCTGCACCGGGAGCTGCGGAGCGTCACCAACTGTCTGGTGGCCTGCCTGGCGCTGGCCGACCTGGGCGTGGGCGCCCTGGCCATCCCCTTCTCCGTAGTGCTCAGCCTGGAGCTCACCCTCTGCTTCTACACCTGCCTCTTCCTGGCCTGCTTCCCGCTGGTCACCACCCAGTTCTCCATCCTCCTGCTGCTGCTCATCGCGCTCAACGCCCACCTGAAAATCCGTCTGCCCAGCAGGCAAGAGAGACGGGCCCCCCCGAGCGCGTGGGGTGGGGGGCGGGGCCTCCCAGGGGTGTGGGACACGCCAGCTGGGCTGGCTCCAGGGCCGGGCAAACCAGTCTGTGGCCCCGGTGGGTCTGGGGGCCGTACTGCTCCTGGCAGGCCTTGGGGGGCAGCTGCCCCTCCGGCCAGCAGCATTGGCACGCAGGCTCCAGCGCACGCCAGGCCATCCCGGTGGGAGTGGCTCCGCCCAGGCCGCCGGGCGGCTGGAGGGCGTCTGTGGAGCCCACCAGGGCCCTGAACCGGCTCTCTCCTTGCAGCTACGCCATGTACGTGAGGAGGGGCCGGGTGCTGGGCGCCGTGGGCCTGTGCTGGCTGCTCTCGCTGCTGATCGGCCTCTCCCCCATGATGGGTTGGAACCGGCAGGGGCGCTACATGGAGCGGAACTGGAACCGGACCCTGGCCGTCAGCTACGCCGCCGAGCGAGCCGCCGTGGTCCTCATCGCCCGCGACCAGCCCTACGGCGGCTTCCTCTCCAAGGTGTACCCGGGCACGCGCGGGGCGCCCCCCTACAGCCACCTGCACGACGAGCACCTGGGGCGCTGCTCCTTCACCTCCGTCTTCGCCCCCGAATACCTGGTCTACTTCGTCTTCTTCGCCTGCACGCTGCTGCCCCTGGGCGCCCTGCTGGGCATCTACGCCAACCTCTTCCGGCTGGTGCGCGGGCACTTCCTTGCCCAGCCGCTGCGGGCGGCCAAGCGAGGGGAGCTGCCGATGGCTCGCACCCTCCTCCTCCTGCTCGGCATCTTCTGCCTTTGCTGGATCCCGCTGCACGTCATCTACTGCGTCCGGCTCCTCTGCCCCGGCTGCCGGAGCTACGCGGCCCTGGACCGCCTGGCCGTGCTGCTGTCCCACCTCAACTCCCTGGCCAATCCGCTGGTCTACGCCATGAGGAAGAAGGACTTTGGGCGGACGCTCAGGTCCGTCTGCCTCCGCTACGTCCCGTGCTGCTCCCGCGCCAAGGTTCATCCCCAGGGCCGGAGCGGCCGAAGATAAGAAGGACCAAGGCCCAGCCCTGCTCCCTGGCGGCCCGATCCCAGCTTAGCGCCCCGCTGAGCTCCCTGTCCTATTTGTAAAGGGAAGGGGTGACGCCCCCCCACCCCCAATCTCTGATGCCTGCCCCCTCAGCAACTCCCCAGCCATGGGCTGGGTTTTCTTCTCCTGTCTTTGTGTCCCTGGGGTTATTGGCTGTTCAATACAGGCCCCATCCTGGAGGGTGGCTTGCGCTGAGCTCTGGCCATGGGTTCAAGGACTTTGGGTGCCATCCCTGGCTGGGCGAGTTGGAGACACCCAGCCCCGCCAGCCAGTGCGAGCAGGGAAAACGGGAGGGTGTGGGGGGGCTCCCTCCGGCTCACGGAGCAATTATTGAAGAAGTTGTGGTAGGGATTGATCACCCAGCTGTCAGGCAATAAAACCGTCCCGTGACGGCAGCGTGAGCCTGGCCTCTGTCCTGTACCGAACGTTTGTTAAATCGATTCTGGGAAAGGGCAGGGGTGGGGGGCCACGGGCCTGGGAGGGACTGGCTGGCTGGGGGTGGGGGGAACAGACCACGGCTCCCTTCCAACCAGGCTGTTCCCAGCTGGGGGGGGGCAGTGGGGGCTGGGAGGGGGGTGGTTCCCAGCTGGTGGGGGGCCAGGGGCAGTGGGCTGGGAGGGACTGGCTGGCTCGGGGTGGGGGGATGGTTCCCAGCTGGCAGGGAGGGGGGTGTTGGGAAGGACTAGCTGGGGTGGGGGCTGGTTTGGGGTGGGGAATGGGCCACAGCTCCGATCAAAGGCAGCCCGTTTCCAGATGGGGGGGGACTCAGGAGGGCCTGGCTGACTCGGGGGTGGGAGGGGGATCGGGTCATGGCTCCGTCCAGCGCAGGTCGTTCCCAGGTGGTGGTGCGGGGGGGGACTGGCTGGCTCGGGGGGGCTGGGGGAGGGGGATCGGGCCATGGCTCCGTCCAGCGCAGGTCGTTCCCAGGTGATGGTGGTGGTGGGGGGACTGGCTGGCTTGGGGGGCTGGGGGGAGGGTGACCAGACAGCAAATGTGAAAAATCGGGACAGGGCTGGGGGATAGTAGGAGCCTATATAAGAAAAAGACCCAAACATCGGGACTTGCCCTATAAAATTGGGACATCCGGTCACCCTAGCTGGGGGAGGGGGATTGGCTCCATTCCCAGCTGGTGAGGCGGGGGGGGGGGGGGGCTGGCTCCAGCTGCCCGGCAATGGCAAAGGTGACCCAGTGAAACTCCCCAGCATGGCAATGAGGCGCTGTGATGTCACAATGAGACTGTGATAAGGTGAGATGATGTCACAATGGGTCTCTGTGATGTCACAATGAGGCTGTGATAAGGTGAGATGATGTCACAATGGGTCTCTGTGATGTCACAATGAGGCTGTGATAAGGGGAGATGATGTCACAATGAGTCGCTCTGATGTCACCAGACTGTGATCAGACGCGGTGACATCGCATTTGGATGCTGTGACGTCATGGGACTGAGATTAGATGCGGTTACATCACACCTCGAGGCGGTGATGTCACAACGAAGCGACGTTACGTCACACTTCCGCCCCGCAGCGCTGGACAAGCGGCGCTTGCGCCCCGCGCTGATTTCCCCGCCCCCCGACTTCCGCCCCGCGCGGCCCCGCCCGCCCCCGTCCCGCTCGGCGGCGATTGGCCGAGCCCAGCTCTCGCGGGGCGCGATTGGGCGAGCGGCTCTCGCGGGATCTGGGGCCCCGTGTTCTGAGGGCGGGCGGCCCCGTACGGCCCTTTCCGAGCCCGGCAGCGCGGAGCCAGCAGCGAGGTGAGGAGCGGGGGGGGCTGGGCCCGGCCAGGGACCCCCCCGCGCCCGGCCCCCTGCCCCCGGCCCCCTGCCCCGCGGCCTGGGCCGCCCCCGTATGGCGCCTCCCGCCT